CAATATGATTCAGATCGGTATCGTCGGAGTGGACACCAAAGGGCTCTTCATTCCCGTCCGACTCGATATGATTCGCTTCGATCCGAAAGTTTTGTCGGCAGAGTTGTCGTCGATGGGCGACAATCCCAGACTGGAAGCGCTGTTTGATTACGACACCCGAATCGGTGTCACCAAAGGTCTCGAGTACAGAGGCCTCAAGACTAATATCATTAACCGTAATATCAATGTGAGTAAAGTAATGACGGGAGAGTACAAGTTTGAGTCCTATGAGGGCCCCCTCACCGAAGAGGCCCCGGAGTTGGTCCCGTACGGAGCCGTTTGCGACAAACTGGCCGATAGTCTCCAGAAGAAGTTTGAAGCGCTCAGAAGTGGCGCTAAAAGCGCTCATATCGTTAGCCCGAAGACCGATAAACTGGACAACAAAGCCCTGAAAGGCAAGGATCGGTATTTGTATCACTTTTTGTCGGACATCCAGACACTGAACCAGTACTCCGTGGATGCGATCAAAGAGACCAAATACTTTGAGGACCTGCCGGACGATCCGCTACTCAGTAGCATATATAACAAGTGGTTAGTCGACACACAAGTGATCACTGTTTACGACAATAAGAAACCCGGAGAGATGAAAGTGCTGGAGATGTGCGACAGTCACGACCCCATACAGCCCAGTGTCGCCCACTCGCTGGACCCGCACGAGTACTACGTGAAGCTCGTCTACAATGTGAGCGCCCGATACCCGGTCGACACCAAAGCGACCGAATGGCCAATGAATAGCTCAACGCTTCCCACGGATTTCAAAGACAACGATCTGGTGATCTACAAGAACGACACGAACGCCGCCATTAATTTACCCGAATTGTTTCAATCAGTGTCCGACTCGCTAAAGCCCAACGCCTTCTTTCAGGTTGTCTTTAGAGACCGGTTCACTTCGAGCGAGAAGTTGATCCGTTATCTGCTCGACATGAAAGCCGAGACAATGGATGGCAATAGGATTAGGGCTGAGGGCGAGAGGTGTGGCCTGACGTACATCGGCTGGAATCGGAACCAATTCGGCGCTAACGCTATGCTCTTCCGCAAAGTGACCGCCGATATTAATGTTGACAAACAGGTGATCATCGAAATGGACAACAATTACCACAACTGGTTGTCGAAAATGCAGGAAGAGATGGCCGCCATTCACACGAAGCCCGAGGGGGAGAATATTTGGATTGTGGCGAACAACACCTCGAAGAATGGTATCTTAGGTTTGGTCTATAGTTTGCGGCGCGAAATGAACGGCGTTCGGGTCAGATGTATATTCAATTACGACGGCATTACCGATGATTATCTACAAAATCGACACAATCTGACGCAAGTGATGAAGAAAGACCTCGTCTACAATGTCTACAAAGACAACCACTGGGGCTGTTATAAGCCAACCATGAAACCCATGGGCAGAACTGTCCAATCGGAGCACTGCTTCCTTAACAACAGCAACAAAGGAGATCTCTCGAGCCTTAAGTGGTTTGAGTGTCAGCACAAACTGTGGCCAAACGGGCGCCGAGACGACCAACAGCTCTGCAAAATATACTATTCGGCCCTCAATTTCCGAGACATTATGTTAGCCACCGGTCAGTGATTACCACTTTTAACGCAACTGTAAACTACTTGTTATAAATTATCACTAATTAATATCACAATTTAGGTCGTCTCCCGCCGGACGCTCTGCCCGGAGATATGGCACTCCATGACTGCATTCTGGGTCTGGAGTTCTCGGGTCGGGACGAGAACGGGAATCGCGTGATGGGAATGATTCCGTCCAAAGCG